CTCTTTCTGCACATTTATGTAGTTTTTCATATACCATGCAACATTCAAGCTTGTGTGACATTTCTAGTATGTTTTCAAGTTGGATCCATTTACCTACAAATGTCTCAAGTTTATGTTTATGGTGCTGTAGCACTCCACTGTGTATATAAATACATTTTCCCTACACATTCATCTGTTGATGGACACACATGTTGTTTCCAAGACCTAGTCATCATAAACTGAGCTGCTATAAATATAAAGATGAGCAGGCATCTCTCCCTCAAAGATGATGATTTTAACTCTTTTCGGAAGATATCTAAAAGGAGGATAGTTAGGTCAAATGGAACTTCTAATTTTAGTTTTTTGAGAATCTCCACAGATTTCCAGAGTAGTGATACTACTTTACATTTCCACCAACGATGCAGAAGAATTCCTTTTTCCCTACCACCTTGAAATGTTCATTACCATTACATTTTTTGATGATAGTCATTTTTTTCTGCGATAAGATGATATCTCAGTTTAGTTTAAAATTGCATCTCACAACTTTTACTCCATAACCTTGTACTATCTCCTGAATCCTGGACAAACTGCCAGAAACACACATATCCCCTACCTCCAAACATAACGTATTTCGATAAAATGTTTTTAAAGCACTCCCCAAAACTCCCTCATTTTATTTCTACATAAATGTGAAATGGTAGTCACATGGCAACAGTCAAATAGGAACCCGGTGACAGTTTGAGCACAGCCGCCTCTCTTCTAAGTTGCTAGACAATCACTATTTTCTTTCATGTCACTTCTTCGTATTATCAAAGATGTCTTCTATTAACATTCCACCTAAAATTGTAGCTGATTAGCAAACTGCCTGCCTTTTACACCCAATCTGCTGTCTCCTCCCCCATGCTTAAAGGTCTGTCATATTTTTATCTTTTTCCTTATGTAAATTTAATGTCATGCACATAAATAAAATTATGATAATTAGATAGGGTCCAGAGTAACAGGGTAAGTTTCAATAGACATGAAATTTCAAGAAAATAAATTAACTTGTGCTTCCCTTTTAAGAACTTTCTCTAGCAGACGATTTCCTGGTAAGAATCATGCACTCTTCTCATAACTTGAAAGAACTTAGGCTTCCTTACACCATAACAACAAAAAAAAGTTACCTAAGGAAAGTACTTACTAAGACAAGAACTTTTAAATGGGTTTGGCATTTTCAAGTAATACTTTAAAGGCTGGAAATAAGAAGTGCATGTATGTGTTCTACTCAATTTTTATATTGCTTTCAATAAAAGATTCTTCACACATTCTCATATATTGCAGATACATACATATTCCAAAACATAAATTAACTCATCAAAAACACACAATTTTTCTTTCTAATAAAGATTAGCTCATCTACAATATTAATAAAGATCTTCATTAAAAACAATATAGCACATTACACCTAAGTACAATGAAAATGATTTATCCTGCATGACGAAGATGCTGTTTCCCCTTCTAGCAATTAGATATTGTTTTCAAT